AGATTTGTCCCTCCTCTAACATCTGACCCATCACCATTCGCCAGAACAAAGTCAATGTCTACTGGCCAGAGTGGTGGTCTGTCTTGGAGGGCTTGAAAGACTGCAAGGTGCACTAGTATTTTCACCACTCCTGTATCTAACAAGAATTCAATCTCTCACCCTTACACCCTTATTGGCACATACCAAGCTCTCCCCCACCCTGATAGAACTAGGCTGACCACTTAACTCTTTCAGTGTTTGCTGTCTGCTGTGCACACCAAGCTGGTCAACAAACCCAACTTGACCTTCGTTCGTTTCGTAGAGCATTTGTCACAATATCTGTTGCCTGTTGCTAATCCTCATGGACCTGTTGATCTGATGGAAGATATTGCCACCCTTGCCTATTGTGTGTCTGCAAAGTATTGACATCACGGGTCACCAGACACCTACTGAGCCATCAGTTGAAACTGATAACTCTCCACTTTTGCTGGGCTGCAAAGTATGAGCAGTGTCACTGCCAGTGATTCACCTGTCCACATGTGAAGCACATGCTTTGCTCTCGCCATCCTTTTAGACAGGTGGAGACATCGACCATGGCAGCAGCATGTAGCTCATGGGGGTATCTTGTTGTGGTCACACGCACTCTGGCATAGGTACGTGCTCAATCAGCAGTCCATGCTGTAACAAGTATTCCTTGAGAGGAACTGAATAGCCCTGCCTACACACTAGAAAACAGAATGGTTGCTGAGCACCTCTATTTTGTGTAAGGGGCTGGGGAGCAACCTTCCTTGTTGGCCTATTTCGCTACAGTGAAGGCATCTGTGTTGGGCCATCCAGTATGTTCTCTTGATCTGCCATGGACATTGCCAGCTAAGCCTTTCTGTACAAATGCCACGGGCATGGACAGCTAGTCTCTTTTCCTAGCCTTAAACTTAGTTCAATAAAGTGCACAATTCTCCATGGGGTCAAATTTGCAGAACAGCTCAAAGACAACAGTTATTCAGTCAACTTGTGCATCCATTCCAAACAGTTACCTGCTTGAAGTGTCTCAGAAATTGGTCTCGGTCCTCTCGTGCCATCCTCTTGAACATCTTGGTGATGGTCTGGTCTCATTCACAGTGTTCATACTCCTGAAAAAACTGGGAGTAGTTGTTAATGATGCTCTTGGTTCCAGGTATAATCCATACATAGGGGCACCAGCATCCCAAAGGGTGGTCAGTCCTAGGCCCATAGCAGCTCATTGTACACCCCTGCACTACCCCAGGTATCTCAAGCTGCCATTGGTGTTAGGGGAACCCTTTCTGTTATGAAAGGTCTATCACCTCATGAGTTATGGTTTTCCACCGTGGGTGACCATTGCACTAACTGCATGGAAACAATTCTGGCTGGTAGGTATTGTCTACCAATGACACATCCAGCCTCTGTTCAGCACTGACTGGTGGTCTTGACCACAGTTGTGGCTGCAATGCTCTAGCTGGCAATGGCCTGGGAGTTCAAAAGAGACTTTCCCAAGTAGTCTCAAGCTTTCTCTGGGCACCAAACCATTCCAGTGGATCTCAGTTGTCTGAATTTCCCTCTCACCATGGTCAATCCTCAGGGGCATTGGATGCTCAAATGACCTGTGTGATCCACACGAGAGCAACTTCTCTGAGTCAGTGGCTGTAAGTTAACTAACATCAAGGACTTTCACAATATCACCAAAGTCCTATATCCTGGAAAGGACTTCTAGCTGTAACACCTATCCTGTGCAACTATATCTCTCTTCTTGGGAATTTTTCCTCCCAGTACCGATTACTTTTACATCCAAAGAAACAGATCTTTCTCTCAAATTGCCTAGTAGAATTTTCTTTAACCAAATAATGAAAAGGTAAGCACATTCTCTTTGTCCAGTCTACAGCATCACCTTGTGATCTTTATCTTTCCACAGCAATGTTTGGCTGTGACTTTTAGTGACATCATCAGCAGCCAGCAAACAGATATCACAATGTTAATCCTCAAAACCAGATCCTACCTATAATATTCCATGGGTACATGATAGGTCAGCTACTACAACATAAAGAGAGTAACTGGAATACTATAAACATAATTCTTCCTGGACTGCATGTTGCTGGAATACCAGTACAAACACCTAATAACCAAAATTTTGTTTAAATTACTGTATCACTACATATCACATATCACATATGGCTGCATATCACAATATTTAAGACTAATAATGCCATTGTGTTTGTTTCTTTTCTCCAGTGAGGAGAAAAATAAAATAAATAAATATATATATATATATTCAGTCATGAGTAAAGACGACCCCCCCCCCCCAAGAATACAAATTAACCAGCTATGTGATGTTACATACAAATAATTGTAACACATAAATAAAGGTATATTTCAGCCATGCTACCAAAAGGATCCTGGCAAATTAACCATATTTTCATGAGGACAAATAGTTAGATAATGAAAAGGTAGTCAAATTTTGTGTAAAGTCACCAGATCACTTGAAATACCACTCTCCACAATGAATAGGGTGACAATTCAATTTGGTCATGTTGTAATACAATAATTTATGCATGACCTAGAACTCAAAACCAACAGAATAGGCCTTTTGTGCTATGAGAAGTGGGGAGAAAGACCACATCTAACAGCCACTACTGTTAAAGGATAAGTGCAAGTATACCCAATACTTTCAAAATTTACATTCATGTAAAGCTTCAGCAAACTTTCCAACAAAATGTATGAATATATTCATATTGTTATAAAAGTGTTTACATTATAACATTTGCATATCAGAACTAAATTTAACTTTTCTAACAAATGTAAATAGACATTAACTTTGCCTTTAATATGTTTAAAATATATTTTCTTACCATTAGACAAACTTCCTTGCTTAAAATAAAATGTATATACAAAAAGGTCAGAATTATTACAAAGTCAGTTTTCAAAGTTAGAGCTTTATTCAGAATATTCTTAAGCATTATAAATTCAATGGTGGAAAGGCATGAAGATGTTATCATCTGATATAAGCTTAAATATTATAACATTTGAAATCCTCAAAAACCATGACTTGAGCTTGTATGTTAATGCTGTCTCATAATATAGATGAAAAATATGTTTATAAACATAACAGAGTGAGTTCCTTTTCTTAAGTTGTTTTTACTTTCCTAGTAAATTAATTTTCACACTTAAATGCCCCTAGGGTTAAACTGCCAAATGCTTACTAAAGATGAATTTATAAAAAATAAAATCTAATAACACCTTACTATTTAATGAAATAATATTTTCCACTGGGACCTAACAGTATTTGATCATAAAAATTATCTAACATAAGGAAATAGGGATAATAGGGGCAACAATATCAAGTGCAGTTTATAACAAAGACTATACAGACTGCTGTGTCAAGAGCAACATGGCAAGACTATCATCATGGGCCACCAAGAGATCAGCATAACAAAAAAAGAATATTCTCAAAGTTCACTATTGGATGCCAGAAACCAGTAGAAGGGTTTAATCACCAGAGAAACTATGCAAAACAGCTATACACAAAGCATTCATTACACTGAGAAATGTAAACTTGCACATATATTAGTTCAAAACCAAATAATGTGAAGAATGGGAAAAAGTTATCCATGAAACAGACACAAATGTAAGAAGCAGCTGGACAAATACATTTTCTGATTCTACATGGATTGCATTTTGTTGGTATGAGCTTGATCCATGCAAAGAAGAACAGGTTAACTATTCACTATAAGAAGATTTTAAGAGAACAGGTTTACTTAATGCTGCAGCATTTCTATCCTGCTAATACAGCCATCTCAAAAGGTAACAATGTACCCAAGCTACAAGATAATTTTAAGAGAACAGATTTACTTAATGCTGCAGCATTTCTATCCTGCTAATACAGCCATCTCAAAAGGTAACAATGTACCCAAGCTACAAGATAATTTTAAGAGAACAGGTTTACTTAATGCTGCAGCATTTCTATCCTGCTAATACAGCCATCTCAAAAGGTAACAATGTACCCATGCTACAAGAAGATTTTAAGAGAACAGGTTTACTTAATGCTGCAGCATTTCTATTCTGCTAATACAGCCATCTCAAAAGGTAACAATGTACCCAAGCTACAATTGTTGCTGACTAGGCTATAGAGTATAAGGAAGTTATTGGTTATCTACCATAGCATTTTACATATTTAGATCTCACTGCCGTTGAGCCATTATTGGATAACCTTGTTTCCCTACTCTGATGTTCACAAGAAAATGAGATTGGTTCTTATTAAGAAATGATGATCATATTGAAACTTCTCAATACTTTGCTGTTTTCATTGGTGAAATTAATTCATGTTATTGTGAGTATTCATGGTGATCTAATGACACATTAAATCTTTTTTTTGGCAGGCATTTTGATTCTCTTTGCTGTCCCTGCATGTATGTAGACTTTGATGTTATTTTCTATTGGTAGTAATATGCACAATTAAAATTCATTATTTTGCACTTTTTTAATGAAACATCAGCACAGTTGCATGGCCTTATATAACATGCTAATAATGGATATTTGTGTCCTTAGACTTAATATTCCTTTAAACTGTGCTACTTGACATTCTAATAGCCAATGAATACCTACTGATAAGTTTTAAAATATATTCTCCTGTTTATGAATTCAGAACTACTAAAAACATAATTTTTTTTAAATTTAACATAATACCCATAAATCCTTTTTGTCAACTTAATTCAATATTAGAAATAATTTCTTAGGTTAATATATAAATAGGTTTTTACATTACGTGGCCAATTGGCATAAAAATGTGTTGCTGGATCAGATTTTGCCTACTGAAGCACTCATTCAAAAAAATTTTATTACCTCACTGTTAAATAAAAGAGCTTTTTTTTCCATAGTCTTTACTAATTTAGAGCTAAAATGCAGTAAGTATTTTTAGTTATTTTGATATGACAATTAATCAAATTTGTTTTATTGTACTAAATTATCTTAAAAAAAAGCAAACACCACAATGGTTTTGTTAACTTAAGCATTTAATAAACAAGAGAGCTGTTTACCTATACAAAAATAAAAATGAAATATAACTTTTTTACATTTAAGCCTGTCTTCTAAATACTCAGTTTTAATAACAATGACCCCAATGGTTTGTTAAATTAAGCATTTAATAAACAACACATATTTATACAAAAATGAAAGTGGAAAATAATTTGTTTGTGTTTAAACTTGTTCTCCATATACTTAGTTTTAAGAACAACAATTCCAAGATCTTTCCACTGCACTTCAACAGCAGAAGATATGTCTTGATGCAGCTGTACAATAGTTAGTTCCACAGAGTACAAAACACATTCTAAAGCTCATTAAGATGATGCATGACACTAATGATTAAATGACTTTGTACACCACTATCTACAGTAAATGGCAGTGTTTTGACATTAAGAGATGACACAGTATTTATTAAGTACTTAGTCTTCTCTCGCCTCGTACTCGTTGAGACCTTCTTTTTGAGTTAGCAGACTCTTTACAATGTTGGCAAGAAAACTCTTCTGGGATGTTGTTTCGACGAATTTTTGCACATGACAAGTGCACCCATGTTAAACATTGAGAACATTCTATCATTGGCCTTCCAGCAAATGGCTTCATGCAAAAACATGTTATCATATCCCAAGAGTCTTCTTCTGTGAATAGAAAAACTCGTTTTTAATAATTGCTTGTACATGTAACCTTTTTCTTTCATAATGTACACATATAAAGCTACTCCTAATATGTTTATAAGATCGTTTTTATAATAACTAGATCATTTATTCATTCAAGTGGAGCAAAATAAATTATCAGACTAAGATCAAATAAATTATTTTAGCATCAATTGAGATTTTACATAATTTAACGTAATTATTCTGTTATGTAAAGCAAACAACTGATGAAAAAAGAAACATTAACAGCCCCCAAAAAAGTCAATGTTAGACAACCTTATTTCTAATTATTCTTTCTTTCTTTTATCCTCCACTTATGCCGTTCAGCTCAAAGTAGGAGATTTCAGCAGTCATTTCTTGTTTCTTACTTTACTTAGTCTGGTTTTATTGACAGCTTTATGCAGGCATTACATTTCACCTGATGTTATTTTCTGTTCAGTTCTAGTATTGTCCACAGTGCAACAAGTACCTTCTCCTGGTCAATAAAAACTAAATTCACTTGTTGATTGTGTTCTACTGTCCTAGAAGGAATATGGCATCAGTACAACTTTTGCCCTTATGAAACCCCATTTATGTTCAATTGTTTTCAACTATTGATCTCATTCTGTTTTCCAGGATTTTTGCAAATGATTTAGTAGAGATCCCTCTATACTTGTCACAGTCTCTTTTACTTCCTTTATTTTGCCTTATGGGTATAATGATTACCTGTTTGCCAGTCATCTGGTACTTTTCTTTCATACATGCAATGTTAAAAATCCTTGTGAGCCACAATACTTCAACCTCTTCACATGCTTTTAGTTTCTACACTTATTATGTCAAATACCTGCTGCTTTATTTTGAGGACTTGATTTTAGTGCTTATCTGGCTTCACTTCTTTTGATATTAGGCTATTCATGCTATGCATAATTTTGAAAAAACTGCCATCTTTTTTTAAAGCTTTCTTTGCTTGCAGGGTTGAAAAGTTGTTTGAAGTAATCTGCCCATTTTGCTCTTATCACCATCCATTAATGAGTTTCATCTTTCATCATTAATTATTGTTGTGGGGGTCAAGAGACTCTTTCCATTGTTTTATTAACTTTAAAGATTTATAAAACTCTCCTAGTTCTTTCACAAAATTTTAAACCACATCCTCTCCAAAATTCTTCCATGAAATTTATATTGCTACTCTTTTATTCATTCTTCTTCCTCTGTGGTAGATTATATAGTCATCTTCTGCTTGACTTTTTTTTTTCCTATTTTTTGAAAGCTTTCTTTTTCTCCTTTATGGCTTCTTCTACCTCTATGTTCCAAAATACTCTGCTCTTTTTCTCATTTCTCATATTTTCCTTGTCCCACAGCACTCTCCATCTTGATCAGTGCTACATGTCTCTATAGAAATTCTCTAATTTCTGCTACATCTGTTCCTTCACTCTATTGCTTACTTCCATTTTAAGATCCCCAGTGTTGACAATCTCTACTGATGATGTCTCTTTTCCTGTGTCCTCCTGTCTTCATGTCCAGTACTACTTGTCTATGACTGGTGTCTGTGTGTATGCTTGGAATAATTTTTGCATCACTGATGCTCTTTCTCATGGTCAATCTAGGCAAGACGTAGTCTAGTTGTAATTCTGTTCTTAAATCATTCCACTTGTACCAAGTAACTATTTGATTCCACTGACATTGAAAAAACATGTTGATAATAAAAAGCAGTTTTTGTGTGCATAGTTCAAGGAGAAACATTCTATTATGGTTCTGTTCTGCTACACTGTGTATGTGGGGTCCTAGATGTTCCTCCCATGGTGATCTTGTCCCAACTTTGTCACTGAAATCTCTCCCAAGACAATTACTTCATTTACTCTTGAATTTCATTTAGCATGTCTGCCAGGTTGTCAAGAATTTTTCTTTTTCCTCTACTGTGTAAGAGTCATTACATGGTGCACACATCAGTATGTAGAAGTTTGTCTTATCTTTGTATTTAATCCTTACTTTAACGAGTCTCTCTGATATCTATGATACCACTGGAACATACTTTGCTGTGTTCTCTTGGTCAACTACAGGCCATATAAGTGTAATCTCCATGTATCCTCTTACTGCCCAAAATCTTTCTTGTCTGATATTCCTAGCAGCTTGATGTTAACATTTTCTTATGCTGAAAATGTATTTCCAATAGGTATTTACCTCCTCTCACCTGGTTTGCCCTCTAGACATTGCTGAAAAAAAAATTTTGCAAACAGCACACCAGTGTTTCATACCCCTTCATTTTCACATCATTTCAGAACATGTGCTAATCATATGATTACCCTCAACCAATCGTATTGCACCATCTATACTAGTACAGCTAGCTCCCTTTACTATTCTAGCACAATCCTCACTTTCGAGAATTGGCAGGTACAAACTAGAAACACTGGCATATCAGAGGGGAGGAAGGGTGGGAAGTGGGTGAGAGGAAGTTAGTACCTATTGAAAATACATTTTAGTGTTAGAAAATGTTAACTTCTGAAATGGTACTAGCTTCCCTCACTGAAAGCTAGGATCCCACATTGCAAAGTTGAAGGGGCCAGTAAAGGTGCAACAGTATTCAATCAAGCAGAGAGCAACCTCCTTGAAAGAATAGGTGTGCCATAATAAGAAAGGAAGGCACATCTGTGGGGTATAGCACTACTTCTGGAACAGGTATGTTCTTTGCCCAGCAATGAACACTTTAATACATATAGAGCAGAATGTAATAGGCAGACACCATAGCCTCAAGAAAGAGATATACAGTACTGTTCTGTGGAGAAGTGCTGTATAATTATGACGTGAAACCGCACAGCCTGGACAAAAACAGAATATCTAGTGTGTAATCAACAACAGGCCCAAATAAATATGTGCCAAGGGTAAAGTCTTGGGGTACACCGGAGCATGTCAACTGCTGTCTAACCAGGCAAAACATCCAGTGGAAACACCTTGGGGTACGTCAGATTATTCTAAATGCAGTCTGCCTGGGCAAAAAAACATCCAGGGAAAGTGTCTTTGATGTATAATATTATGGCCAAGTGTGATCCACTCAAGCAAAAACATCCAGGGAAAGCCCCTTGGGATACACCGGATTATGCCAAGTGCTGTTCACCTTGCATAAGATACAGAGACCAACAAGTGCAGTCCGCCTGGGCAAAACCCAGGGAAACCCCTTGGGATACTATTGAGTATGTCAAGTGTGGTCCATCTGAGCAAAAAACATCCAGTGGAAGCGCTTTGCATAAGAAATTTATTTTGTGATTAACAAGTGTGGTCAGCCTGGACAAAAAACATCCTGGGGAAGCACCTTGGATCTGGAAAAATATTGTTATTGCATAATCAATAAGTATAATAACGATAGCCTCTTCTCACTGAGTGGGTACATATGAGCTAAGAAGTTTGATTTAGTTTACTGTACAAACCCTGCTCAGCAGGAAACCTCCATGGTCCACCACTCCAATGACTGTGAACTGGAAGTGACAAGAACTCCTGTGCTCCACTAGAAGGGGGGAGGAAATACACACTGGAGGGTACAGAGGAATGACACACTGAAGAAATGCAATGGGTGTCTGAGATTCCCTATTTTGAAAACCAGAAACACACCAATTGTAAGAATCACGGGTCAGTAGGGATCAGCAAAAATCCCCATCTGCTTTACTGAAGAAGTTCATGAGTGATGGTCTTCTTATTTATCAAAAAGCAATAAAAATATACATATATATACACATGCACCACCAGATAAGCTACCGGTGGTCTTACAGAAACACCCTATCTAAACAGTGAGCATTATAGAAGTATACAGGTTTAGAGCTAATAAAGTAATAAGCATACCTAACTAGGTAACACCTACCACCAGGTGGGATCCTTAAATATGATGTATATCAATGAAATAAGATAAAAAATAATAATATTGACTTACTCCAGTCAAAGGCAAATGACGTATGTAGAAACGACACAGGAGGAAGTTGATACCCACCCAAGGAAGACACAGCTAGGCTGTGCAGATAATGTTCAACAAATGTACAGGGAATTGTCAACATACCAGTCCGAATGATCTCTTCCAAGGGACGGCAGTTTCAAGCAGCTAAAGACATAATTAGATGAAAAATTTAGTGCGAAGAAACATTATGTAGACAGCGACCTTCCATGGACACGTCAGAATACGCCAGTCATACAAGTTGATGAACCCAACCAGTGTGCATAATAGGTGATAGATCACAGGAAACAGAGGAATTCCATGGAACTAATAGAAGGAATGAAAACCACGAAAGGAGGCAGTATGAGCCATATAACATAGTAGGGAACAAACTGGACAAAATAGTTGATCTAGATCTGAACAGAAGTACAGGTGGGAAATGGAAGGTAAGGAAGGAGAAAAGGCTAAATAACCTTCACGGGCAACCAATGTCTCTTGGAAAGGAAGGCCCAATATGGGTAGAAGATAACATACGAGGAATGGTAAAAGATGCAGGAAACATTAATGGCATTAATAATGGAACAATGATAATCGCATGCCAGGAGGGAAGGAAATAGGTATTAAGGGAAAGACGATACAAGAAACACATTGCAATGGGTAAAAAGGGAGAACCGGACAGGGCATGAAGGCCAACATTAAGATTTCAATCCAGCAAAATAAAGGGACATGGCAAATGGACCAGTCAAAAGGAATAAAAAAGGAGGGGCAGAACCAGGGAAGAGAAGGCTTTCAGGAAGCAGGAGAACAGAAGGTGTTCGACAGGGCAGCCTTATACAGAGCAACAGTTGAAACAAACAAACCCTTATCAAACAACCAGATGAAGAACAGAAGAATGGGATGGTCAGAAGCCATAGCGAATAGATCAAAGTCTGAAGTGAGACCAATGCCGCTGGTACATAGACAAGGAATAAGGGTGAATGGTACAGGTAAGGAGAAATGCTACATAAGAGGAGAGTCCCTGAGCTGAGGCAAGGGACAAGTGAAGGTGAAGTTTGGTGATGTTGGGATGCAATACATCCTATATCGGTTGTCGGAGGAGTGATCAGGACAGAGGGAACCACATCTGAGCCATCTAATATGGAAAAACCAATAAAACACTACAAGAAGTGGTCAAGATAAGTGAAATGACTCTGAAGAGGAGACTGATCTCTGTTGTATGAATAGACCTCTGGTGTGCAACTGTTTGGTCATCTCAAAAGAGGTATATAAATTAAAATTACAAACTATGATAATAAATAGAATTAGTTTATTATATTCCAGGACACTATCTAATAATTACTCTCAAACTTTTTTATAGCATCACAAACTTAGAAGAAAAAAGTTACTTAAGAAAAATTTAAACAAAAATCTGAACTGAAATCAGTTACAGAAATTTAAAGCTTCATTTACATAATGGCATACCTGATTCCACATCTGTTTGCTTGTTGATTCCTAGGGAACTGTTGCTGCAGTTGCTATCAGAAGAAAAACTGTCTTCTGTGCTTCCTGAACTTCCTACAGGACTAGCAGGTTTTAGACGAAGTTCCTGCAAAATAAAAATGACAAAAATGAAGAAGAATAGTCAACTATTTGAAAGCACTCGAGTTTTGGGTTCGTTTTGAAAAAAAAAAAATTTCACTGTAATGAATCTGCACATCTGACTAAGTATCATTTTATTCAATTTGTGTTCTAGTCTTTTATGATTTTCCAAGTAAGGTGTAATATCTAACACAATGTTTAATCTTTGTTAAATGAATGTGCATTTCCAATACTACAAGAAATATTATAGAAATGCTATTTTGTCCAAAAAACTATTTTGTAGTTCAAATGATAAAGAAACTTCTTAATGCATTAATCACCATACTCAATAAATATGCATTTTAAACAAACTATTCAATTTCGTATCATGAAAGTAAATATTAGCTATCAATAAATTCTGATTAACTGTTAAACAATGATTCTGACAAAGATAAATATACCCATTCTTCAGCAAAAATGCAAGGAATAAAATTCCAATGCAATTTTAATATTATCACACAGCATTTAATCTAAATGATATTTATGCCAATCACTGAAAATCAAGAAATAATTTGGTGACGTATAATAATTGACAGTCTCGTATACATTTCCACACACATTGGCCAGGCATGTCCTAGTCGTTTATTGTGTTGTGTACTCGGACTGTGAATTCAAGGATTCATGATTTGTGTACAGTTGCTGCAGAAAAGCGTTCTATACTTTAGGGCCATGGGTGCTGTAAATAGGCAGTCAAATTCCACTACTTGGTAAGAGAAGAATAGCCCAAAAGTTGGTGATGGGTGTAGTTGACTAGCTGCCTTTCCTCTGGTCTATAAGTTCAATATCATGGGTGGTTGTGCACAGATAGCCTTTTTGTGAATATTCACACAGCCTTTGTTAAAAGTACAGACTGAGCCTGGCATAGTGTTCCTGTTCTACCCCATAAAACTTTCTTTAGTGTTTACACTAAGCGTTTTAATTGGAACACTATTTCACAAACCATAATTTATTTTTATTTTTTACCATATTAGCAAAAATCAAGGGTCACATGACTGGATGAAGTGTCTTTAAACATCACCTTCAAAGTTTTGCTTCCACTTTTTAGTTTCCCCCTGGCAAAATTCAAGACACCTTCAATTTTCAGCTGAAGGTGACAAACTGTGTCATCATACACTTGGTTTCCAAACTCAACATAAGCCAATCAGATAATCAAAACACTACACGTTCATTCATATTCTCCTAATTTGGCATGCATAATGTAGGCATAAGTCAATCAGCATGCCTTATCTGACACAAAAATATTGTGTCAAAACAAAGATAAAAGCTGACTGTATATTGTATTGAGACACATAATTAAATGAATTACTATCAGTGGATTAAAGAAAAATTTTAATGATGACTGGAAAAGGTGTAATGTGTCTTTTTTGGCATATCTCCTTATCTAAGGTTTTTGACTTATTGGAAAGGGTTCAGAAGAAGGCTACTAAAATGATTTCAAAAATTGAAGGCAGGGCTGCAGAATGGTTCTGCACGTGCTTAATGAAGAATTGGGATTGTATATTTTCCTATAGAAACATTCTCATATCATCCACCCACCACCTTGTATTTCATTAAATTGCTAGTTAAGGTAGCAATCATGAAATATGTAGAGTTAATTTCAATTTACCAAATTTATTAATACAACATCTTCTTTGATTTTAAAGCCAATTTTGCCTGAGCATTGCATTAATATCTTAAAAAAAATCTTATGCTCTAAGGTTGTAGATATTCTGCTACCCTGATGGGTTATCTTAGAGGGAAAGGTTAAGATCTATTAACTTTTTTTTTCTTCAAAAAAAAAAGAAAAGTAAGAGGTGTTCTTATTGAACTTTCAAAGATTTTCTGAGGAGAGTGAAAAAAACATCTAGGCTTCTGATTTCTTTGTGCTATATTCTGAAGATAATGAATAGAGAACAAAAGTTTAAGATTTGGAACAGACAAGACGGCTCCAGTGAAAACAGCCTTATTTTAATAAGAGGATAATTAGCTTACAGAATGAGTTGCTATCAGCAGCAGTGAAGGCCAGCACTTCACAGAAGTTTACAAAGTAAATCAGTGATTTCCTCAAATATAAACTGTTGGTTTAACATTTTTTTCCTAAGGCCAAAAGTGCAAGGACAGTTTTTAGGACCAAATGGTCTGTTGTTGTCCATAGTTTATACAATATTAGATGGGTTCACAAGCTAATACAGTACAAAAAGCATAACATCTTGTAGTGGTCTCAAAGATCCCAGGATTTAATGAAAGATTCCACACAATTAAATTACAGAATTCAAACACTTCAAATGTCTTTAAAGATGTAAGTAAATTAGACTGAATAAAACCTTCATGTATTAAAAATTTTCATGTTTATTTTCAAGGTTTAAAGTGTTCTTGAAAATGTATCATAAAATGATATTTTTTTTATATCACTGTTTTGTTTGTTCTTTAATAGGTCCTTTGCTTTTTCCCTTAAGAGCACCTCATGAAGTTTACCTTGAATAGCTCAAAGCTTTAAATAAAATAGGGAATAGAAAGTTAATTATTGAATGAATGTGACTAGTTTGATTATTTAAGAATTTGTTTAATCAGAAGATTTTTCACTCTGAAAATTATCCAAGTACATCTTTCAACTAATAATGGAACAGAAGATCATAAAACTCTAATGCCTCAAAATGTTAAGTCTTTGGTTATGTAAAGAGCTGTATTGTGCAAAATATTTCCAAATGTAGGTTGAAACATTTTTTAAATATTTCAATAACTTTTGAAAAAGAATTGTTAGAAACTTCTATCATTTTCTGCTTAATTAAAAAAAAGGCTGTTAAGTGAAAGGAATTAAGTTTTTTCTAACGTACATCTAATTATTTCTCTATAACTATATGTACGTGTATCACTTTAAGGGTGTACAGGTGATAATGTTTTATGTTGTGACCAGTAAAAAGATTTAATGACCTGTTACTGTGACAGGTACTTTTTCCTAGCAGAAAAACTGCCTTTTACATCCATACCATATTTAAGTTTAAATGATATTTCAAAAAAAAAGTACACCATCATGCAAATATTTTCATAAGTTTGTAATTTTAACATACAAGCTATTTTGCCTAGAAAATACTCCAGTGATGGACTTCAATAACTTATATTTATTACCCCTTATTATTTATCCTGGCTTTTAACATTATTATTTCATCACTTAAACAACCTTTCAAGAGCAGTTTGTGTAATCTCTGACAACTTTAAGCATATGCATCAACTTGGATTTCTTTAAGGACATGAAATCAATGCATTCAAAATGCTATTAAGCATCAAACTGAGCACCTAAGATTTTAAAAATACGTGTCTGATTGGCACAAAAAATATCACAGAAAGTGTTTAATACTAGATCAAACAAAACTGTTGTTTCCAGCCATTAATAAAAGGGATTGTGCTCTGAACATAAATTTTTGTATCATGAACTTATAAATTATTTCTTGGTACTAAACCATTGCAAATGAAGGTTTATTTTACTTATATTGTCATTTTGCTGTTTTCTACTAAGTTGCCAAACAAATAAGTTGTCTGACTAGGATTCAAACCTGCACCAAGCATACACAGAAATATAATTTCTAGGCCAGTGCAGTGTTAAATAGATTATATTTATCATGGCCAATGCCAATCATTAGTCTTGTGGGAGCCTATGCAGGTTGAAATGGCATTTATATTTTACTTGTTGATATATGTATTCAGTAGTTTATGGATACTGCTTTCCAACCTACCTAAAAACTCTACATGCATATATAATATCATAAAGTGAAACTTGCATCTCACACTTCAAAATTTAAGTAAAAATACCAATTACAATTCCATTTCAACAGTTTTAACTTATAAAAATTTAGAATTAGTATTTTGTCATTATGTAACAGTTTCTCTAATGGTAAATTTAAAAGTAAAACGTTCAAACTTTCACTATTTACTGAGATGAAACTACACTTACTATATATAAATTTATCTCTACCAAGAATATTGTTAGCAAAAATTACGATACCTAGCCTGACAAAGGTAATGGTGACACCATTTTGAAAGGTGATGTCCCAGGTCACTGATAAATCTTTGTCAGTTTCTGCTGTGTTTTTTTATGATTTGTAGCTGGAGTGGTGACTACAGCATTCAATAAAATAAAGTATCAAAAAAAATATGTTAATGAATATCAATCAATTAAAACTGACTTATATAAAATTGAACCAAAAAACTATTTCTAAGATGGTAGTAAGTATATTTTTAATGGTTTTTCACAACAGTGTCTGACAACAGTATTTTAGAAATTTCCTGACTTAAAATATAAATGCTAAACCAAAATGTGTGATTTTTTTTAAAGCAGAAAATAGTTTGTACTAAGTTTCATAAAATTTGGTTAACTATTTACACTTTAAGAAGGAAGAAAGATCAGGGGATATCAATGACAAACCTCTTGTCCAAGAAATGTTAACAAGTCTTTTCTTAACCCCAGCAATTTAACTGTCTTAGCTAATTTTCTGTGTGGCACCTTATCAAAGGTTTTAAAATCTAAATACACCAAATCCATACCCTATACATTACTCAGAAAATAGGTACCCCTCCCCAAAATAAGAATAACAGATCAACAAGCCAGTATGACTTGGTTTAAAGGGACTTATGAGCCTAACAGCTCAAAATCAGTCTTCTAACTAGCTCAAAACCAGTCTTTCTAAAGTGCAATGCATTTTCAAAATCTTGTATCAGTACATTAACTGAGCAAGGTACACAAAAAAACCAAGCAAGTTATTTTTCATGTAAAAATTGCATGAACATCAGCAAAATACTGGCAAGGAAATGTAAATGTGGTTTTCATCAGTAAAATAATTAACCTTACCTCTTGTTTAATAGCATCATAATTCTCATATTCCAAGATAAACTGACAAAAAGAGAAAAAATCTTCTGCTGTTCTTCTTCTCTTTGGGGGTGGTTCACTCTAAAAACAATTAGTCATACCAAATGTTTCAATAAAATTCATAGAGATACAGTACAGTATTATACGATAATTTACTAATAACATCTTAAATTTTGACGATCATTAAAGGCCAGTTGGCTCTTCAAACAACTCCCAAAACTACACAATTTAGATATAACCATTTTTTGGTCATGAATCACTGCAGAAATCACATCCGCTAATAAACAAAGTTGGAGGTTATGCATTATTTAAGTAACTTATTACTATAATAATATTACTTTTTTCATTAAGTAGATAGTATAAGATGTTAATACTATTACTCCCACTAAAAATGTAACATAAATGTTAAGGACAACAAGAGATCTGTTGATCCATCTAGGTTGTCCCATCCACTAAACTAATAAAAAAAGAAAGAAAAAAAACTCAACAACAAGCCTTCCTTTAAACTCTTGAATTTACAGTTTCAACCACATTTGAGAGCAACCTATTCCAAAGTCTAAATAACCTCTTAGAAAAATAAAACTGTTTTAACTGAAGATGACTCTTGCCCTACTAAAATTTAGATTTGTCTTCTAGTCCTACCATTCTCATCTTTAAGTACAGGAAAAAAAACGGTGATGCATTGACACTGTCAGTTCCTTTAACAAATTTAAATACCTCATTCAGATAGATCCCTATTAACGCTCATTTTTTCATGATAAAATTTCAGAGATGTTAGCATGTCCTCATATGACAACCTTTATATTCCAGGTGTCATTCTAGTTACTCTCCTCTGAACCATTTCCAACTTTTCAATGTTATTTCTAAGTTATAGTCCAAAACCAAACACAATACTTTGGATGTGGTCTAACCAGTGACCTATACAATATAATTAAAATATCATTAGGCTTGTATTCAATATGATTATAGATATAACTTAAGATACCATTTGCCCTACCATTAGCAACAGCACTCTGCTTCATTGGTGTAAGACTAATCAATCAGAACAGCAAAATCATTTTCCTCCATAACAATGTTAAGCTTGTTCATATCAATATTATAATAACCTATATACACTATATTGCATATATTATAACTAAATCCATCTGCCATTTACTCACCCAACTCACCAAATAATCTGAATCCTTTCATAGAACAGCAGATCCACTTCCCAGTCAACACCACCATAGATCTTAGTATCATCAGTAAATTTAAATAATTTATTGATTATTCCTTCATCTACATTCTGACAGTTAATTTTGACATTTTCAGCTAACCTTTTTCATATACCCTTTTTTGATTTCCTAATTTTGTGTCTGACCAGCTCTCTTAATATTCTGTAATTCTCTAAATCTCTCATCATAGCAGTCACTTTAAACTTCTTGAACTTACAATGCTTTTCTATATTTTTATCCTTTATACCATTTGTAAGTCTATCTGGGTTTGTACTTGTAGCCACCCTTTTTTCTATAAATTACTTTTCCACAACATTTACATTAGTGCTCTTTTATTTTTTTTTTAAGCCAAAGTAAATTTCATCATCTAAATTCTATGTAAATAAAATATTTACAATATGTCAAATAGTAGCCCTTCATCAATAGGAGAGTAACACAACCTCCATGCACATAAGCATTTGTGTTTGAAGTTAATTTCATTTTTATATAAGGCAAGAATAATGTGCACTGCAGAGAGGTAAGTATCAACTGGAAATACATTTACAAGTAAGGAAAATGTTCACACAATAGCTAAAATCACATACTGATATGATGAAGGGGACTGTGCAATTGCAAAAACCTAGATGAGCTTCCTTCTGAGAAAGCAACTGAAGAAGAAAGCCTATAGTGGGGGCTTACTGGAGGGGTAACACTCATGGGGAAACCACATTCATTTCATGCAGGGAATACTTTTTGCTCATATGCAAGTATGAAAAGAGGAAGTCAAAATGAGCCAATGTGTTACAGGAATGGGTGGAAAAAGACATGTCCAACCAAGCATTTGCACACAACAGGTTGATTGGACAAGAGGTGTAGTATGGATAGGGCAATGACCAGACTGTACAGTTTGGTAAGTGTTCTGTTGTACAATTTACTCATCTTACATAGAGGAACAGGGTCTAAGTCCCTATCTGTTGCGTGAAGAGAACACTTTACCCAATCCACCGAGCCAAACCTCTGGGAAAGTGGCATATTATATAATAGGGGGTGACCTGTGCTACACTGACATGGACACCCCTGCCCTACTTTTACCACATTGTGCTGCTCACTTGGACTCTCTCCAGAAGAACTGCACAACTAGTAAGGAACTCTCCAAGTTGACCATCCCAGCAACTAAGAACTGGGAGTAGCAAGAGTTTCCCATGCTCCACTCAAAGACCAGGGATGGGGACTTTGTATTGGGGGAGACACAGGAGAGGTGCTTGGACCAAACTGGACCTACCCACTTCAAAGGTCTCTTACTGGAGAAAGTGCAAGGAGTTACACAAAACCTAACTTGAGAAGCTGGCATGTGCGAGCCAGGGACATGTGCAAACACTCAAAAAAGTGCTAGCTTTTTCCATGATAGCCCATGGAAGGTACAAACTGGAATAAACAATGAAATATGTATATGTTTACCATCATAGTGATCATCCAGATAACACCATCTCAACAATGGGCACTTTTAGAGCCAAAACAGATGGGTTTAATGTTATCCATTACTCCCGACCCATTGTGAAAAGTAAGCATATTCTGTGAGGCAACACTGGCCACATGCTGGATTCTGAGAAGTGAAAGGGAAAACAGTATAAACAGTTAAGGAAATAAAAGAGAGAATTATCCATTACAGATGTTGAGTAGACTAGTGAATGGCAACTGGAGGGAGGCAATACTGCCAGATGGTAGGGATAATGGGAGATGAAGGTGTTGGGCATCATCCACATTCCAACCTGGAGGATCTTGTCCAAGGGTCATTGAAAGTGAAAAGCCAGAGAGTTAGTCAAATGGCAGATTTGATGCAATGAAACATGATACAACCTACAAGCATCTCCATCCAGGGAAAAACAGACAATCCAGATGAGCTGAAAAATCCATCTGATAAGAGTATAGGATGAGATATTTCTGGAAGAGGGTTCCCTATGGCAGGAATAAAAGATTGTGAGAGACCCAAAATGGAGCCGTGCATGCCAAGTAACACATGATCATCTGAACTGTACACAAAAGGTGATAACAGTCAGTACGATCACAGAGAGCTGAAATTGATGGAAGAGATAAAAGAGAACAGGTGTAATTCTCCTCCTGAGCCCCACAGGTTTTAGGAAAAAATGAACAGTTAGGATATAAAATCAAGAAAAATCTGTGCAACAATGTACAGGAGGCATCTAATACGTAAAGACCAGACTTACAACAACCATTAGCAAGAAGGGGAAAGAAATAGGTTTCCAGAGAGAGTTAGTATAAGGAATAAGTGGTCATGAGTAAGAGTATGTAGAACCACATTATGGTCCCAGTTGGGCAAAGAAACTGAAAAAGGGGGATGATGAACTAGGAAGGACCGAAACAAAGTGGAAAGACAAGACAGAACTATAGCAAAAAAAAAGGGTAAAAGATAGTCAGCAAAGCCACCTGATAGCATGTGATGATAGAAACCAACAATCCTTGGTCAATCAATCAGATAAAGAAGGATAAAATATGAGCAACAATAGCACAACTTGATGGTAGAGAGCTGCAGTTCAATCAGGGACAAAAAACATTCTACTTGTTTTGATAAACAGAGAGAGAGAGAGTAGAAGGGCAACACGAACAGGAAAAAATTCAGGGCTACGCAGTCCACAAAACATGACCAGTGAGCAAGGAACTGGTCAAATCTTACATGCAAAGATGACACTCCCAGGTGAAAGACAAATCAATGAATTTGGAGCAAAAGTGACTGAGATGGAGGCAGAAAAAGAGGTGCTCTGAATGCCAGTTACTGCAAAAAAAGGAAACCAAGAATGAGCCAGCCAAAAAGATGCTACCAATATGACCCAAGAAGGAGTGTCAGGAATCAAGACATATACAGAAAGAAATGAGAACGGTCCTGGCTGAGAGCATCCAAAGCTAGAGTTGTTGGGTGAGTTACCAGGGACCAGAAGAAGGGAAGATTCTAACACCTTGATTTATAAAAACAGGGATCAAATTAATTAGCTTAAACTTCCTGGACCATCCTTTCATCCTCCCTTTTAAAAGTGGGGATCATATCACAATCTTCCAATCACCTGAATTCTGAAAAAAATAATAGTTAAAACTAACTCCCTCCACTCACCCTTTATAGCTGTTCTAACACGTTTCTAACACTATCCACCACAACACTGAGAGCATGATGTAAAATACCACTTCTCTAGTAAGGTCCCTATATGTTGAGTTAGGAAAATATCCCCAAAACCCTATAATCACATAATTCTTCAGTTTCATACAAAAAAAAAAATTTTTTTTCAATCAATGTTACTCTAAAATTAGCATTTTTTTTGCTGTATTTGGTAGTATAATATAGATTTGTTTGTAAATGTCCCTATTACCATCTTATAGAAAATTACATCAATTATTTTTCACTGTTTTACAACAACTCAAATAATCTCCAAAGAATTACCACAAGGTTTTTAGATTTAGAACTACTCCGAATTTTAAGTGTTTTAGCTATTTGTATATTATTTGTTAATTACAAACTTAATCATAACCATCTTATTATGATTGGGGTATGAGTTGGTCCTGTGGAGAGACCCTGGTTTCAGATCTGGCAATGAGGTGATTCGATTCTATGCGATACCACAAAATATTCTCCACATTTCTCCGGTGCTGACATCTTCTGGCAAACTTCGAAGTGATAGTTCGGTAGAGGAATGTTGAGGGAGTCAAATGAGCATGTTATGCTCCTATTGGTGAGGAGGTGACACATGATGATTTGCATGAGACATGTTAGAATATTCCAATAAGGAGGAGTGGAAGACTTTAATGGTAGGTGATAGGGTGCTGACTGGCTACCTTCTCTTTGGTCAGTAGTTCAGAATTATAGATGGCAATAAATAGCTTTAGTATCTTTGCCATAAATACAAAACAAAATGCACTTTTATTTTGATAAAAGAATGTCAGAGACAATTTAACTATTCTGAATTTTACCTCAGGCACTGCAAATGACTTTAAATCTTCATAAACTGCTCCATCTCCTAGCAAATAAAAAAACAAAAACAAAAGAATATATCATATGCATTCATACTTTTACAAGAGTTTTCTTTCAGAATTCTATTTTTTTCAAGGGTTGAATTAACTGATTTTTTTACAAGTATGTCAAACCAATACAGTTGTTATGGTACCTAGATTTTTCATACAAAAGATTCTCATCTAGAAATAAATCCCTCAAATTTGAAAAACATTTGGGAGGGGTGATGAGTTCAGTGGGAGATTTTCCACCCCATCCTACTGAAAGAAAACCTCCTATGCAAGATTAGAGGTATTCTACCATCACCTTATGATATCAATGTCAATCTTTCCTTCACTAAATTATTTATTCAAGAAAAAAAACATGTTTTGTTATTTCTTTCTACAAGTGGTATGAAACATACCTAACATACTATGGGTAGATTATTATTGTTTATATTACATTGTACTTTATACTCAGTGACTACTAATATAATGTGGCAACTTTCATTTTTGAGAGTACTAACTTGCATGCAAATGTACACATAAACATAACTGCTTAGTTCCTCATTTAAACCAAGTTTTATTCTAATAAAAAACTGTGAATAAACAATATAAAAGTGAAGATTAACACTAAGGTTATAGAGAGTTTTACATATTCTTACACATTTTAGACATACAGGCTAAGTTTAACAATTTCTGTGAAAACATATCTTGTAAAAATAACTAATTTCAAAATAATTAATATTAGTATATTTTAGATTAAATTAATTGATGAGAAATATAACTGAAAAATTTAGATATTAAAATTAAGACTCTGATGTATGTACTAAATCTAATAAAAATATTACATTACAAACAACCAATTACGTCAGGAATGTTAACATTTTTTCATTCTAGCATTGCATAAAATTAATGTGTTACTTGAGCTTTAGAAGTACCAGCACATTCAGTGATTGTTAACAGGAGTCTATAGAACTTAAGGAAGAAAACTTATCTTACATCTTTAAGAAAAACTAGTCTTCAAAACCCAATAATTTCACTGTACAGCTTTATTACTGTATTTGGTGGTATAACACTGACAACCAACTCCTTAGTTTGGATGGTGGGTGGTATGGTGCTGCTGACTGCCTGCCTTCTCTTTGGTCACTAGTTCAGAATTATAGATGGCAGTAGATAGCTTATTAGATAGTAAAATAGCTCAATGGAAGAAAGCAGAGGGTTGTTATAAAGTTCAGTCAACCTGTATTAATGTTACAAGTTGAGTCGTTACCTCATGGATCAGTGTTAGGACATTTGCTCTTTTTTTTCTTTATATTTACTTCAGTGACATACATGAAGAAATGGTAAATAAGTTACTTAAATTTACTAAACATAATATTAAGGTCTTAGGTGTCCTTGGGAGAGGGGAGGAGGATGCTGCTTTACAAAGGGATTTAAATCATTTGCGAGTTGGGCAAATAACTGGCATATGTCGTTTATTTACAAGAATACAAGTTAATTCATATGGTTGGGTCATCATAATTTGGGAATAATCTTAACATTATTACAGAAGAGAATCTTTGTGTTTTGGTTAGGTTAGATTAGGTTAGCCATCCATGAAGTGTGCTGTTGCTAATAAATAGGACAAATTGAACTTTATGTTGTATCTACAGAAATATTAAATGCAACCCTAAAGACACTATAATTTTATTGTATAGAACAGGTTAAGATATTCAGAATGGTTTTCTCTTGTTCTCTTTACAAAAAGAGTTAGAGGGGATTTGACTGAGGTGTTTAAGACTGTTATTTTAATGGATAGTGTTGATGCATCATCTTTTTTTGTACTTAATGGTGAGAAAAGTAGGACTACGACACACAAATGTTTTTGGCATGGGTAGGAGTCATCTTCAGCTAAGATAGTTTTATTTCTCTATCAGGTTGGTTGACCTTTGGAATTAGTTGCTTTCAATTGTAGTGACTTCAGTAAATTTGGGGGAGATTAGGGGAATAACTGCTAAATATTTGAATGGTAAGGGCTGATTCAGGTTTTTTACAGTTTAATTAAATTTTAATGGATGGAAAGGCCTACACTGACCAAATACTGGCAATAGGTCTCTTGATGTCTTTATATTTTCTGTTATTGTTAGGTTAAAGAACTCTACTCCTTATTAAAGTTACATTGTTGGTTATGACTGAGCATATAAATAGTCTTACATCCTCAAACTAAGAAGCTGTAATTTGTAAAATGAAACGTCTGATATTATTATCAAACTAACATTTCTTTAAGTTACAAAGAATACAATAATTAGTCTGCAGAAAGTTACTACAAGTTTAATCCTTATTTTTGATATTAAATTTAGAACTTCGGTACAACTGCATTGAATTATTTACTGCTAATACTGGCAACTCACGAATATGGATTATTTTCGTTATTAATACTATAGAATAGGAAATAAAAGTAACACGCTGCTGACAATGTTGTCGAAATTTACATATAGGTTTATATACTTGTTTTAGCATTTCTAATTCTAATTTTTGTTGTTGTTGTTGAGTAACATTACCTGGCAAAATACTTAAAACGAACATTAGTAGTCTATCCGGAAATATTTTTGAATGGGTGTCATTAACAAATAAACATCAACTTTCAATTCAACTGAAATTAACGACACCCACCTTTCATTTTTCTATCCATGGTTTTTCACTTTTGTCAAGTTTTGATCAACAATCATTCAACTGGTAACGCTAAATAAGTTAAATTACGGATAAATCTCTTTAAAACTATCAAACTTAACTTAAACTAGGATCTGTATAAACTATTATATTATTACAAACCAGTGGAAACTTATTGCAATTGTTAAAAATTTGATAATGAAAATTTTAACTTATTTGCTTTACGACATTCGTTTCGAATATTGCTGCTTTGTACTATATTTCACACGAAATGACGTACGTCCCGTCATGCATTGTATTATCGTACGGAACATCAATGTGAACTACATGTTTAATTTTTTTTTTTGTCAAACATTTTTTTCGATATCTTTTAATAGAATTCTTTAGATATAGTTATATTATAAAATGCATTTTTAAACTCATATTTTCTCAACAAGAAATGAATAAAATATGCCTTACACATTGCTAGTGTCGTTTTGTTTTGGATTGGTTTCGAATTTAATCCATTTCTATTTTCAAGCTGTAGGTCTAACTCTAACGAATGTAAGCCTGATAAAGTAAAAAATTAAGTTTATTTCGAAAAGTTATTATTTAAAAAGTTTTACAAGATTGATACTACATGTAACTCTTTACTTGCATGATTTATTACAGCTAAATATTCTGGCTGACAGTTTTTAACGTCTTGTTGTTATTTGCGTAAGTATGACAAAAATACCAGTATAAAACATGGCAATTTAAAATTTTCAAAGTTTCTTAGCTAAATCAATTCTGGTATATATGAGAATAAAAATAACTGTAAAATTAAAGTTTATAAAAAATTTAGAGCAACTTCGTTAAATATATGTTTTTGTAAAATAAGTTTCTTTAAATATAGTGCAAAATTTTAAAATTAATCTTTAAAAATAAATTCCTGTAATACTATAAACTGAAAATTTGTAAACATGGCGGGGGAGGGTAGTATGTTAAATGAAAATTCTAATAAATTAGAGCAGTACTGTAAAATCATGTTTCTTACTGGGGAACTCGGAGATAGGGTCACACTGAACAAATTAATATTAAAATACTCAATGGAGAAATAAACGTATTTGAATAAAAAACATCCTTAAGTTCCAGATAAAAATAAATCAACGTTTTGGGTACAAGCCTTAATCAGGGCCTGATGAAGGCTTGTATAACATAACATAATTGTTACGTCTCTGGTCGTTTGTTAATTTCCCGTATAATTTCTTTCAGATGAAACTTTAGCGATACAAGTCCTTTCTTAAATAAAACTAGTTTATTCTTTCTCAATACAACTTTGCAATACACTTAATTTCCACAGTCACTTTATATTAAACACACGCTATAATTCACAACAATTCACGCACTTTACTTACGGTCACTACCGCGCTTGACTCAATTGTCCGTCTCTGCCTGTCTGCAGTTATCTGTGCTGTCACTTCTTGCCGGTCTTATATATACAAAATAGAGGGCGTCTGGCAAACACTCGAGCCTCCAGGAACCTTCTAGATACTCATTACCTGTTACCAGCGTCACGTGTCTTCCGCTGTCGTAACATAATGTTTAGGGACAACAAGTGACATATTTATCCATCTAAGCTGTCCCATTCTCTAAACTCAATTAAAACTATTAATAATAAAAATTAAATAAACCTCAAAGCCAGCCCTTATCTTTTATATAGCTATCAAGTTTTCTTTTAAACTAATTACCCAGGCACGATTCTAGTAGCCCTTCTCTGAACACTTTCCAACAATTCGATGTCCTTCCTAAGGTAAGGAGCTCAAGACTGAACACAATACTCCAAATGTGGCCTATCCAGTGACCTATACAATGAAACTGTAACCTCTTTGGACTTGTATTCTATATTTCCGTAGATTAAACCTAAAATCCTGTTTGCTCTACCACTAGCAACAGCACACTGCTTGGATGGCTTAAGAAATTGATCAACCATTACACCAAGATCCCTTTCTTTCTTGACACTGTTAAAGTCATTCCCATCCAAATTATACTTATATTTCAAATTATGATCATCCATACATGTATTATCTTGCATTTATTATAATTAAACCCGTCTGCCATTTATTTGCCCAACTCACTAAATAATCTAAATCGTTTTGTAAAGCAGCATCCTCCTCCTCACAGCCAGCAACACCAAGACCTTAATATCATCAGTGAAATTAAGTATTTTCTTGACCCTTCCTTAATCTAAGTCACTGATGTAAATCAAAAAGAGCAAAGCTTTTACGATTGAGCCCTGAGGTACTCCACTTTTGACATTAATCCAGTTTAACTGAACTCTATTTATAACAGCCCTCTGCTTTCCTCCATCCAACCATTCTTCTATCCAATTAGCTAACTTATCTGTCAAACCTACAGGGATAATATTTTACAAGCCTTTTATGTAGAACCTTGTCAAATGTTTTCTGAAAGTCCATATATACCAAATCTACACTCTTACCTTCATCTACATAAGCAGTAACCTTTTTAAAGAATGTCAAAAGATTTGTAAAGCAAGATTTTCCCTTAGTGAAACCATATTGATTATACAATAAAATTATAAATTTTGTTAAATGACTTTGTAAAGCATCTTTTATCAGACTTTCCAAAACTTTTACTACAACTGATGAAAGACTAATGGGTATATAATTACTGGGACAATTTTTATCACCTCCCTTGAAAAAAGGAGTAACATCAGCCAACTTCCAATCCTTTGGCACCTGCCCATTATTCAAGGACTTACAAAAAATAGTAGCAAGTAGCTCACTTCTGAAATGTTGGTTTGAATAAAATATGGTTATTATCTGAAGTTTAATTTTTTTCAATTAAAATATAAACTTGGTATTCTAATCAACATTCGATATTTATTTAGATTTTCTTATAGTTTCCGTTATCACTATATACGAAATTGCCCTTTTCCAGTGTTATACACACCGATAAAATATATATCGGGAACAAACAGCAGCCATCAGAGTTGAGAATGAGCTTGACCAATTTCAGAAGATAAAAAGAGGAGTCCGTCAAGGATGTGTGTTATCCCCTGATCTCTTCTCCTTGTATAGTGAAATGATCATGAGAGAGATTGAAGACATGCCAGGCATAAGTATTAGAGGCAACAATGTAAATAATATCAGATATGCTGATGACACAGTGTTAATAGCAGGAACGAAAAAATCTTCAGTCCTTTCTTAATATTGTATACAAAGAAAGTGGAAATATGGGACTCAGCCTAAACACACACACACACACACACAAAAACCCAACAGAAACCATGGTTATATCAAAGAAAGAAACCAGTCCAAAATGCACTTTATTATGAAATGGAACCCTTCTCAATCAAATCTACAAGTTCAAGTACTTAGGGACATGCATTACATCACATGGCAGATGTCAAAATGAGGTCCAGAGTAGAACTGCACAGGCTAAGACAACATTTATGAAGATGAAAAGTATATTTACTAACAAAGGTGTATCAATGAAAATGCGCAAAACAGTTCTTAGCTACTACATCGAACCAATTTTGATGTACGGTTGCAAATCATGGACAATAAACAAAAAAATGGAAAAATCACTTAATGCGACCAAAATATGGTTCCTATGCAGAATGCTTAGAGTTTCCTACAAAGACCAGAAAACAAATGAAAAAGTTCTACAACAAGTAGAAACAAAAAGAACATTGCTAACAAAAGTACGAAAAAGAGAAGCAGCATTCTTTGGTCATGTGATGAGGAGAAAGGGGGTGGAACACTTGGTAACAACAGGGAAATCTGTGGGTAAAAGAAGTAGAGGTAGATAGCGAGAAAAGATCCTGGACAGTTTAACAATTTGGCTACACAAAGAGAGGGTGACTGCTGTAATCACAAGTGCCTGGGACCAGGAAAGGTGGAGGGACATGATCGCCTACGCTACAAAGCACGGCACTTGATGCTGCTGCTGGTATAGTAGTGTTGTTACGGAAAAATCAATTAACAAACGGAGACGTGTTCCGACGAAATTTTAACGACACAAGTCTTTACTTAATAAAACTGGTTTATTCTTTCCGAATATAACTTTACCGAAACACTCAACTTCCACAATCGCGCTAAACAAACGCTATAACAACGAACGTGCTCAATAATACTTCTGACTGCAGATCAATTACTCACTGTCCATACACACATTACCTTCCCCTCTTTTATATACCAGTCTACCCTCCATCTAGTAATTACTAGAGCATTCGCCAAGATACGGGATAGTTCTAGAAACGTGGCGTCACTGTAGTCATGTGACTTGCTGACGCAACAGTACTAACTTATAAAGGTTAGAATGTATTGTTTCATCAGTTGGGTACCCTTGCTGTTAACTATATTTTCAGTGGTATAATATGCAAGAGCCATGAGAATCAGGCTTGTAACCTCTTTAGCTGGGTTTTAATCCATATTTATATTCATATATTCTGTTATTATTGAGACTGTAATAAGCAACAACAAAAATAAATCCCAAACAACTGTCTTCCATCACATACTTCAACGTTCAGTAATGTGTATATATGGTTCAGGTAAGGATATTGATGAAGTTGGATTAATTTGTAGCTTGTGGAAGATAAAACATTTTTGAAAGCATTATATTTTATTTGCAGTTATTGTATTTTTTCGAATTTTATAAAGTTGTTTTGGTTTGAAACAAATGTAATAACAGTTAGTGAATTTATAAGATAAACCCGTTAAATTTATAATGAGCTCTTTAGAAAATCAGCAGTAGGAGAAAAAAAAATTGTGAAGTACAGAATACCATTTTTATTAGAAATTGTTAAAAACATTTTTCTATCTATAAGTTAAAATTTTCAAAGATTTAACTGCCATTAATAATAATGAAAGTTTTTAGACAGTTTACATTGTTATATTAAAGTTATAACATAAGCAAAATTCCACATTTTAAATCTTAGAAAAGTCAATTGTATGAAATATTCTATCACTGGTTTAATTGAGCTCATGAGAGATAGCACCCTAAAGTGATACTTTGAACTAGTCATGGCATCATGGTATATTTTTGTTTTTTACTTAATATGAACTAATCTATTTTAAGTTACAAGTCTGATTTTACCTTTTTGTATGAATTAATCGAATGTTACTGACTCCCATAGATGAGATTATAATGGCAGGTGGTTGCAGAAAGACCAAACATGGCTGTTGTCCTGATGGGGTTACCCCAGCTGGACCAAACTTTTCACGTTGTCCAAAACTCCCTCTACCAGAAGGTGGCTGTGAAACAACAGAGTTTGGTTGTTGTAAAGATGGTGTAACTCCTGCTATTGGGCCATTTAAGTAAGTTAGATTTAAAAATAACAGTCTCTAATTTCATACAAATAGAACAACATAAAACTATTCTTTCAATATGGGTGGGTGGAGGGGGTTTGGCCAAATCTCCTATTTTTGTGATGTAAAAACAAATAGCCCATATACTTATAGCACAGTATTATGATGTTTCATACATAGTCTACATTCTTCGGATGAAGTATTATCAGTTTTTTGGCTTGAAATAGTTGCAAGCACCCAGACCCCTGTAGCATTAGCATGCTTTGCATGCTGATTGTGCTTAGCACAATACATGTTGGCTTTTGATCTCAGAAATTAGAACCTCCCTTTCAAACATTCTGCATATGGGCCTGAATGTATAGTATATACCAAAAATTAGTACAGTTTCATTATTATTGGTGATATCTCTCATAGCATTACATATTACTTAATTGACCATCTTCACAATTCTCTCAAGTCATATTGTATTAAATAAAAAAGGTTCAGTTATCCAAAATGTGCAATACAATCATCATAAAATACAAAGAATGAGCTTTTTTGAAAATAGAAAACTAATCTTGTGCTTGAATAAAATACTGTGTTACATCATTTTATACCTATTGTTCTGGATGTAATTATGAATGATATAATTATATTATGCCTATTGTCTGGATGTAATTATGAATATAATTCTGCAATTTTTTTATATCAAAGGATTGAAATTCAAAATCACATCATACCTGTTATTGGTCATTTAAAAATGCTTGTAAGTTTTTGAACAATTTTGAAACAACAAAAAGTTTCCAAAATCAGTATTAATTACTTTAATATGGAAAAAATTGTATTAATAGTTGCAATTTTATAAGGTTAGTGTGTGATCTTACTTGAAAAGAATTCCGATCCATGTGTTAAAATGATTAATGAGTTTTGTAATTAACACAAAAAATAGTTTCAAAGTTTGAATTAAAATTAACATTGTATTACACAGCATTTAATCTCTGAGCAAAGCATTTTTACTTTACCCTTTTGAAGCTATTTTTTGTAATAGTTACAAAGTTCATGAGTTTTCCCATATCAAATATAATTTCCAAAAATAATAGTTTTATTTGAATATTATTTGGTGATGTATTGATTTCTTTTGTTTTATCCTACCCCTAGGGAAGGTTGTCAGATTGTGACCACCTGTAATGAGACAAAATTTGGCTGTTGTTCTGATGGACTAACTCCTGCCCAAAACAAGAAAGGAAAAGGTTGCCCAGGTACTGAAGAATGTAAAGATACAACTTTTGGTTGCTGTCCTGATGGTATGACACCCGCAGAAGGCAAATATAGTGAAGGTTGCCCAGGGGTTGAAAAATGTAAAGATACAACTTTTGGTTGCTGTCCTGATGGTATGACACCCGCAGAAGGCAAATATAGTGAAGGTTGCCCAGGGGTTGAAAAATGTAAAGATACAACTTTTGGTTGCTGTCCTGATGGTATGACACCTGCACAAGGTGAGAACCAGTATGGATGCCTCAATGAAACCAAGTGTCAAGATTCATTATATGGTTGCTGCCCAGATGGAGTAACACTTGCCAAAGACAAAAATCTTACTGGTTGCATAGAATCTTTACTTATTAAATGTCAGTCATCAGAGTATGGATGTTGTCCAGATAATGCTACAATTGCTTTAGGTCCTAGCTTTTTAGGCTGTGATGACTTTTCTTCAGGTGAGGTATGTGAGAATTCCCTCTATGGTTGTTGTCCTGATGGTTTAACTTCAGCATCAGGACCTGGGAATGAAGGTTGTTTAGAAAATGATATTTCTTTTATTGTACCTACAGAGATAGAAGGGTCTGGTGAATGTGAAGGAAGTAAATATGGATGCTGCCCTGATGGAATATCAATAGCACAAGGATTAGAGTATGATGGGTGTGATAATATTCAAGGGAGTGGAGAGTCAGAAGCATGTATTGATAGTTTATATGGTTGCTGCCCTGATAATGTGACCAGCGCAAAAGGACAAAATGGAGAAGGCTGTCTAGAACAAAATGTTACAGATATTTCCATTAATTGTATGGATACACTGTTTGGGTGTTGTCCTGACAATGTTACTATTGCAGATGGACCAAATGGAGAAGGCTGTCTAGAACAAAATGTTACAGATATTTCCATTAATTGTATGGATACACTGTTTGGGTGTTGTCCTGACAATGTTACTATTGCAGATGGACCAAGTGGGGAAGGCTGTCTAGAACAAAATGTTACAGATATTTCCATTAATTGTATGGATACACTGTTTGG